TACAAACATGATGATCTAGATTAGAACATGATGCATTGCTGTGTCTCTGTCATAATTCAATAATTAAACAATTTTGGAGAAAGTGGCTGTACGTGTTTTTTTGTTTTGTTTTTTGTTTACAGTCTTCCTTTAACAGACATTAATATAAGACAATACTGCAAAAACAGTTTACTGTCAAGCTGTTATATTCCTGTTATATATTTATTGTCCAACATTCCTAATTTTTCTGTCATTAATTTAATTTCATATGTTGGTATTAATTCAATGTTAATAATGCTAACACTTGAACTTAAAATATTTTCCACCGAAACTGACATGGTTTCTAGAAAGCAAAAGGTTTTGTGAAAAAAAGGTAAGACTTTAAAATAAAATCTGTAAAATAAACTGTTAAAAGGATTTGATGATCACTAGTCTAGTGATTGTACGATATTGTTGTCATCGTTCAGGCTGTATTCCAGCTTTAATGTGCGGTTTTTTAAACAAAGCAGTTGATATTTGCCATGGCGGCAGCTAGAAGCTAGTGGACTGCTGAGTCGCTTTCACCCCAAAATGGCGGAAGCGCATGGCTGCTGCTGGGCGTCGCTGTTGCAATGGAACGTTCTACTGAGTTTCGCCTCTTGGTCTTCTATACTCTTTGCCTGCACTCAAAGGTAGACACACATCCGCCATTAAAGCAAGTAACAGTGAGTAAAACAATGGTAATGTGTGTGAATAGAGTATTAGCAATGTAAGCGAGATTAGCGGCAACCATGCTGGCGATGCTAATGGGCTATTCAGTATGCTAATAGCGGACTTGTGAAATTAAAAAAAATGAAAAATGTCACATTTATTTATTTTTCTCTACAACACAACATTTTTATTTTCTCTGACACTTTTTTTTCTACTGTGTTGCATTAAATATTAAACAAATTTTGTGTCAAGATAATTCATATAAATTCAAGTCAAAGTCAATAAATTCAAGACTCTTGACAAGACGAATAAAATAACATACAATTTTGTGCCGACTACACTTTTATTTGTCAGCCTATCTCTCTTTCTTTCTGAAAAAACAGTCCCGCGCAGACCTCTACCTGGAATGCCAGTGCGTGATATTACTGTTCATTACCAAACTACAACAAACCCCGAGATACAACACTAACGCAAATAGTGTGGATTTTCTTTTTTATTAATCTCACTCAAATTTTGCGATTCTGTTCAAAAGACTCATTTAGATTAATTCAGGGTGGATTAATTTAAACTAGCCTACAGATTTAAAATGACTGGTTGATTAATTTTTAACTAGGGATGCACCGATACCACTTTTTCCAGTACTCGCCTCAGTATCGGGCCCGATACCGATACCAGTATCGGTGCATCCCTATTTTTAACCTATAAACTCCCCGAAAAAACACGACAGCGCTTGCTCCCTTAATTACGACATTAACCATGGTACAAAATAAAACAAA